TCACGTGATTTTACATAAGTACTCTAAATTTCCATTGAACACGATCATCTTTAAGTACAAAACGTAGAAAAATTATAACTGTATATTATACCTAAAGTTACTATGTATAACAATTTAATAATACTGAAGAAAAAACCAGAAATTAACTAACTTTCTCCAATAACCTCCTAAAAACTACATACTTAAATGAAATCAAAAAGAAAAAGTTAAAAAAAAAAAGTATATGAAAAAAGAAAAACATTCTACGACAAGCGAATCATGAAGTTCAATTAAATATTTTTGTTTTTTTTTTTTTTTTATTTACTAAATAGCCTCAATTGATGGGAAGACGAAGCCTTTTAGAATTGAATATGAAAAAATACTCAAATTTATTTTCTTTTAAAAAGAGCACATCAAAATTCACAGTCGCAGAACATCATCACTATCAATATCATCAGCATCATCAATATCATCAATATCATCATCATCCTCATCATCCTCATCTTTGAAAATCAACCAACAATACTTGACTTCTTTATTTCCTGAACAAATGCATCAATTCAAAAAAAAAAAAAAGTACGAATAAAAACAAACTTAAAGTTTCAATTTTCTAGATCGTCTTTGGATAAAAATCATATAAAAAAAAAACAGGAACAGGCTAGAGTGAAGGGGGAGGAATATGGAAAAATGTCATGGATGCATTCATTTGAATATTATATTCTCTTTTTATATATGAATTTCAAAAGCAAACGTAATAACTATTATTATTGTTGGACTCCTAGATTTCTTCTTGTGTACTTTTTAAAATTGTCCGAATTATGAAACTCATTTCGAAAGGTTTTCTACTTTTCTGCATCAATCCAACGTACGCACATCAAATAATTTTGTTGAATAACGTATAATTTACCAATTAAATTCCTTCATAGATATTATTTTTGCGTACGCAAAAGTTACATTGTTCTTTTAGATATTAATGAAAATTTGTTCAAACACAATTTTAAAATTATTCACAAAAGTTGTAATCCTTCAAAATATTGCTCCGAATTTAAAGTACTCCCATCCATTTCTTAAAAGTTATCTTGTCGCCCCTGTTCATTCGATACTCGATTTAATTCATTTACATGTACTTTGAATTTGACAACAAAAAATTAAACAAACAAAATAAATAAATCGTGTACATTTTAGCTACATTGTAACCTCATTCAAGATACAATATGCAAATTTAAGTGTATAAGATGCACAAATAACATCATTATCATCATCAGAAGCATCATCACCATCATTACCATCATCACCATTCGACCATATTCAAAAAGGTCAGACAATTTTTGTTATACAAAAATAAGAAAAACACTTTAAAATTATAACAAAAAAATAAAGGGAAAATGAGAGCATTAAGTCAATTTCCATCCCATCATTATAATGCAGAATATTGCAAGGGAAATTTCAATAAAAACAATAATGTTAAACATTTTAACAGAAGCGTTCAATAAGGCATTCGATTAGAAACCCAGACATTTGTACGTACCACTCTTAAAAGAAAGATATTTTGAAAGCCATTTATTTTTATTAATAATGTTTTTCTTTTTGCTTTTTGTTTACTTTTGTTGTTAAAAAATAATGATATCATCTCCATTACAAAGCAACCATAATCAAAAGTATAAAATATCAAGAAGCACCAATTCAAGAAAATTCGACAAGGTTCACAAATATGTTCATTTTATTGCAGGAACTATACATAAGTATAGAAAAATGGTAATTGTATGGTGATATGTGGCCGGATAAAAAATTAAGAACGCTTAAATAAAATTAAAATACAAAGAAAATTGGAAAAAGAGAAAAAAAACGTAATTCTTTCCTAAAATAGATCATCAATATTTGAAAAGAAGGGAAGGCGATGAAGACGAAGGGAATAATTCCATTTTAGATTTCTATGAATTAAAAATAATGTTAATCGAATATAGAAGACGATCTATGTATAAGACCAGACAGGAAAAATTTGAATTCAAGAAAAATATTTTGCATAAATATTTTAATAGTATTTGGAAAATTTCGCATTAGAAATTTAATTTACTGAGAAAACTTGGCAGAAATATGGACATGCCAATTAGTTTTTTAGAATTTCTTCATTGGAATATAAAAAATCTTTATATTTTAAAAGCATTTACATTTAGAGTGTACCTTTTGGAAAATCGCTTTAACTCCATCAATTTATTACTTGTCCTACTAATCACTTCTTTGGATGAGTAAACTGGTCTATGGATGAACTGTAAGCTGACGAAAATAAAATTAAACTTGTTCCAGAATGTCAATAATTTTAATTTAAAAATTTAGCCTGCGAATAAAAAACTGTTCAAATTAATCTGGATTTCAGAATTAGACAAAAAATTTAAAGAATTGATTCAGGAATTCCTGTTTAATTATTTGCCCTCAACCACAAATACCTCAAATATTTTTCAATGTGGAGCAACAATAAATTGAATTACATTTGTAAAATTCTTAAACTTACATAATTTTAAACCAGTTAAAGCTACTTTTAATATTTTGAATACCAATAATAGTAACAATAACGAATTAAAAAAAAAATAAAAGAAAATATTTTTTATTCTATTGATTTTAGCGAAACAAAACGTGACCAAATTAAATCAATTTCAATTTCTATTCATTCAACCAACTAGATTTTCTTATGAAACGAATTAATTCTAATACTGAAATAAAAACAAAACTTGAATGCGATTCAATGGAATTCTTTTGAATGCTATGAAAATTTTAAATAGTTTTATTTTTTTTCCATCTTTTTGTATTGTCTTGCCTTTGTCATTTTAAAAATGACCACTTAATTAAAACAAAAATACAGAACAAAATAATGTAAAAAAGACTATAATTTTAATATTTAACAATGAAAATTGATTTTGCGAGGCAAAATACAATATTGTTACAATAGAAGGAAATTTTAGTGATGGATACCAAAAAGATCAACTAAACATATCATGTCATCGAATAATTGTGGCAATTCTTTATCATTAATTGCAAAATTTCCTAAAATCAGGAATTAAGTTCGAATAAAATGTGAAATCTGTGCATGAACCTCGTCATTCAGTAACCTGTATGTGATAATTTCTCCAACATTTTTTTCATATCTCCATTCAGTATTCTTGCTTTCGGTTCTTTTTCTGTTTATTTGTGCCTAAATCCTTGTGGTTTCTTTGTTAGATTATCTGTTCAATGGGGAGTAATTAAATAAAACAAATACCAAGACCGCTACTTCTGAAACTTTTGACTAGAACATAATTGGCTGGGTTGTAAGCAAATAAAGGCGTCTTTTAAAAGGTAAACAGTCACCAATATTTTCAGTTAGCCTGCTATTTCGTGACTCCTAAAATAATTTTAATTAAAATCTTACTAAACTTAAAACAATCCTCCTACGTTCATACTCGTATCGCACCAATTCATTCTGTGCTTTATTTTAGTATATAAGTGTATAATTTTATTGAATTTCGGAACTATATTCTTATGAAATTTCAATATCAATTGATTACAATTCTGTAACCACAGCAAACATCTGCTGTACTGTAATTAATTAAAAAAATTCTTAAATGCATTTAATATGCATGTGCATTTTTAATCACATGTTTGCTACAATTTCCTTCCAAAGATTTCTCAATCTAATTATCAAAGAAACTACAATAGCACAACAAAAACTACAGAGTAAATTTACAAATTTCCTGTTTGTGCTCAAATTTTTTTGCACTCCTGCCTGCATTCGTTCGTACTTACTCGTAAAACTTGAGCAATAATCAAACAAATACTTTTACGATCATCACATATTAATAAATGATTTTTACTCACTTTGTTTTCTACCTAATTAAAACGTTTTTCCTCTATTATTAAAAAAAAAAAAACAGAGTGTCGTATAATTATTCTTCCTGCCATTATGGCGCATTCTTTCATAGTAAATAACTTTTTAGAGAAAGTTTTTTTATTTTTTTTTTTAATAATAAATTAATTTCCCATTGAATTCGATATAGAGAGAAAAAAATTTATAAGTAGGTATAAAAAAAAGATAATATCAATCACGTTAAATGTCAAATTGAACTAAAAGAATCTTCAATCATCTTATTGAATAAACGAGGTTTTAAAATAAAAATTTTGTTGCAAAAGAAGAAGCAGAAGAACAAGAAAATAATAATTTTGCACAAAAAAAAACTAAAAGTTTTTCCTTTGTTTCTCAATTCTAATCAATCAAAAATAACTACACTATTATTAATCACTTCATCGATTCCATTTCAATTCTATATTTCGAATCACTTTTCAAAATAGTAAAAGACAAAAATAAAACATGAATTTGTTTCTATACATAGGAAAAACAAACGAGTTATTTCGTGTTTCCACACTGGTCATATTCTTCTTACTGCTTTTTAGTGTTTTCACAGCATTTCTTTGCTTTTTTCCGCAAACTAACTTTGTAGTTTGTGGTTATGAAATTTCTGTCTTCTTTTTTGAATTTGATTGTTTTATTGCTGTAACTCAATTATACATTCCGCACATTTATTTGTTAAATTTTGAGGTATTCACGTTATATTAGAATGCGCCAACGTCAAGGGTGGAAACACAACGAGAGCGTTTTTCTGCGGCGAAGTGCCAAAATTCATACAAAGTACACATGAGAGCCACAATGAAGCGAAATTTTCCCCGAGAATTTAAAAGACGAGCGAATTTTATTTTTTTAAGATCATATGGGAACATGTGTTTGTAATACTATATGCAAAATGTTGAAAATTTGCTGATTTTGCCGTTCCGTTGTTGTTCTGTGCTAACAACGAAAATCGTCCGCCGTTTTCGTTCTCCGCTTTGATTCTGTTTCTACACTTACGCGGACAAGTGATTTTTACTTTGCACTCTTCTATTTTAAAAACTCTTTTCAAATACACGTTTCATTTTAATCAAAGAATGTACTTTTTGAAGAACAGTGTGAAATTGAAACTACTTGTATATTCAAAAGCAAAAGTAAAAGGAAGAAAATGAAACGTGTGGAAATAGTCATTCAGTAAAAAATAACACAAAGAATTCAACCATTGAATTTCGTCATATTTGTGCTCTTTATAAATTTAATAAAAAATTTTCTCTACCATCCTTTAATTCTATAATCGTAGTTGGTATTATGCACAACTAGATTTTAAAATGAAAAATAACTTTTCAACCGAAATGAATCTATCAAACTCGTTAACATTTAAAATATAAATAACTTCAACTTTTTGTACAACTTCCATTAAGTGGAAAATTAACAATAGCCAAACCACTTTTATTTTAGAAAATAAAGCAAAAAGATCAATGAAAATAATATCTAGATTATTTATCTATCAACCAGTATAATTCATACATAGTAGTTAACTAACACAATATTTTACAATATAATAAATTTTTTCTCAACATAGTACAACATTTTTTTAAATTTTTATTTTTTTTTTTTGTCATATTTTTTCCAGAAGAAAATTTATTACGAAAAGTAAAAGTCATTCATCAATTCAAGTACCAACTCATAAAGAATCATCATCCGCATTATTAAGTGGATTACCTCCAGTTTCTGGTGGTTTTAGTTATATTCAACCGGGTGGATTTAGTGCATTTCGTAGCAATGCAATTGTTAAAAAACAACAAAAATTATTAAAAGAAAAAGGAGAAGAAGAAGGTGGTGATCCTAATACTACTAATGCTAATACTATTAATATTGACAGTATTAGTTCTATTAGTAGTTGCGGTGGTAGTAGTGGATTTTTAAATTTTAGAAGATCAGGTACAACAACAACTACAACAACAAATACATCATCTGAAGAAGATTTATCAAGTTGTGGTATCGATAATAATAAATATAATAATAATAGTAGTAATAATACCGTATTACCTGGTTTTTTAAGAGGTGGAATAAGAAAAAGTTATACACAGGTATTTAAAAAAAATTTTTTATTATTATTATTTTAGAAAATAAATTTATTGTTAATATTTTTGTAATAACTTGCGCATATGTACATGTGGAATGGAATTTTTTTCATTAATAATGAAGTGCTAAATTGAGTTAGGTTTTACAATACCTTAACGTAGGCACAAACGTTTAACGAAAATAAGAATTGGCGTAAATCATTAATTGCCCTATACTAGCAAAAGAACAATATACTAGTTTTAGACAAAAAGCTACTTTTAGATCAAAAATTGAAATATCCGCCACTTCTAAATGAATTTTGTTTATTGAAATAATTTCCTCAAAATAAAAGACTTGTAAGATAAATAGTTCAACAGCTTTTTCGAAAACTAAATTCTCATGTGATCAATTTTTAAATAAAGTTCTTCAAAAGAAGTAGTAGAATTTCTTTGTCTCTGTCCTCGACTTAAGCTCTTTTCACGTCGGATCCTATTCTACGATTCTTATCCCCACTTACATTATTTCCATACCTAGGCCCCTGACAAACTGCAGTATAGCTTGCCTCTGTCGAGGACAAAGGTCCTTAAGTCCTTTTCACGTCGGATCCTATTCTACGATTCCTATCCCCACTTACATTATTCCCATACCTAGGCTCTGACAAACTGCAGTATAGCAGCCACAACAAGCGGCGAGATTTTCATCGCGGTCACAAAGCCACCTTAGCCTCTCAAAGCCTCTCAGCCATATGCGACCCACCGCCTGGCATTCACATAATAAGTGTTGCACCGTTTCGTTCTCCTCCATTCTCGTCCTTTTGCATTGAGATATTGCATTAAGAGACAATACCGGGTGATGACACCCAACAGTACATCCTATACGAGACCTTTTCGTTTCACAGTAACTTTCTCTCTTTTGCAAAGTAACAAAACAATTTTGAAAATTAAGAAAACTCCTAAATTAAAAAGCATTTTCAAATTTATGGAATAAAATTAGAATATTTGAAAAATATAAATAAAACACTCTCTTAGAAAAAAAAAATTCCAAATAAATTTTCAAAATAGAAAAAATTTAATAAAAAAGTTGCATGTCAAACTAATATTAAAATTGTTTTACTAAATGGAAAAAATAGCAATATACATAATAGCAATATTTATTTTTCATTTCACTCTTTTTTTTTTATTTACAATTTTCACTTTCCATTTAATGCGGTTTTAAAGTTATTACCCTATAAATAATTTTTTTTTTTATAAAATACTTGGTTACTGGTTTGATTTTATTTTTTTTTTGTTTTTTTTTGTTGCGGTCTGGCAATATCATCTTCTATCAAATGACTTCATTTCATATTTTATTGATTGAAAATTTAAAAAAAAATGCTTTGTTGTTTCGTTTTTATTTTTCTATACAATTAAATTGAAATTAACTGTAAACAGATACGCGCATCCTCCTACCAAAAGTGCTCCTCTATAATAACTACAATGAAATTCAAATTCAATATTAATTTAGCACGCATTTCTTAGAGGTTGTGTCTTAAAGGTGCTACCTCAATTTCTTCAATAATAAAAAAAAAATAAAATCAAATTAAATTTTATGATTTCCAAAAAAATTTTTTAAAATAAATGAAATTAATTATTTTTTTTTCCGTAAACTCTTAAGATCATGAGACCAGAGCAAGGTCAAATTGCTAAAACTGGTTCAATTGCGGAACGATTGGCTGCTCTACAAAAAAGTGGTGAAGATGATTGGCGTAAACGAATCTCAAAACAACGTGATGAAGTCGATGAAATACGAAGAGAAAATTTTGTTAATGTAAGTTTTTTTTATTAAAAATTTTATACAATTATTTTTTAATTATTTTATATATAAAAAAAAATTTAATTGATTTATATTGAAATTAATACAAAAAACAAAATCAATTAAAAAAGAAACCAATAATAATTCACGTGAAAATGAGTTTTTCATATTTAAAATTGGAAAATAGAAAACTAAGCACAAAAAATATCTTTTGCAATTTACTTCCTTTCTTTCAAATTTCAGTTGACAGCTGATATGATGCTCATATTTTTCAAACCTAAATAATATGAAATTTGCGTTATGTTATAGCTTAAAATTAATAAATTGTTGCCATACTCACAAAAACGTTTACAATCTTATCACACTCTGTTTTTATCATAATTTTTTTATCACTACAAAGCGATTTATTCACTGTAAGTGTGGCAAAATAACTGTGAAAACGAAGATTACTCAAAGTAATCGTGGCATAACTCCTCTTAAAATTTTGGCTTGAGAGATGGTCCACTTTCATGGCATATGCAGATCAATGACACATTTTGCATACTTTTAATGCTTAAATGCCATTAAAGTTAATTTCAATATATTGTTAAAATTGGAATAATTTCTCACACGTCTCCCCTTGACGCGTGAGAAATTTTAATATTCCAGGGATTTTGGAAAATTTTAGAATAATGTTTTAAATTTTCCAAATTGAATAATTTACACTTATAAATTTTAAAGCGACACACAATGTCATCTCAAGCGGAAAGAATTCTGATAAAAAAAAAATTAGAAATTCAACAACAACAAAAAATTTGGCATTATTTTTGGGATATATTTGGCATTACTGCAATTGTTTTATTTAAGTAGCTTTGTTTCGTTTGATTTAATGTCCAAACAATGGTTTTATTATGCAACAACTCATAAGTGATGAAAACCATTTGAAATTTTTATTTATTTTCCTTTTTTTTTTCATATTAGATAACAAAATATTACATGTTTGCATAATATTTATATATTTGTATGCATAGATGCTTAATGTACACTACAAGTTCCGTTGTTTTGATTCTTTAATCTTCGTGAATTTCGTCTTTATTAAACTTTTGTTATGTTGATCATTTGATTTGAATATGAAAGTTAACATGATAATTTAGCTTATAATTTACGTATAAAGTAGCTTGCTAAAATCACACAAGCACAAATCTTTCTAGTAAAACGTAGTGCGAATAAAAATCAGAGTTGAATATTTAAAAGCTTCTTCGAAAAAATAAGATCCAAGTAATCTCTGTCTGGAGTTCGCAAGCGCCGGGCATGAGTATAGGAAACTGATTATCGTTTTCTTCTGCTCTGCGCACAGAGATATTCGCTATTACAGCACCCGTATTCTCGAAGAGATACTAGATTCCTTGTCTGACGCATAAATCTAGCTTTGGTCACACTTCCTTGTTGTTCTACTCGTTATTCCATTCGTCCATCTGAAGTTTATACAATTCTTAAGAAAACTTACAAAAATTTTCAACTAAGTTTGAGGGAAAAGGCCTATGGAATCTTTTGAACAGACATTTTGTGATTTATAATAAAACAGTATACAAATTATATTAATTTATAATTATATGAAGTATAAAAAAATTAATCCCAACAAAATCTTGCTGAACTTATTTAATTTTTATCTTAATTTTACCTCAATTTTATTTTATATTTGCATAGACCGACCCCATATCAAAAATCATTATATTATATTGTTCTCTTCAGTGTTCAAATATAATTTAATTATTTATATTGATAAAAAAACGCACAATAATTAAATAAAGAACAAAATCTCTTCTTTAAATATCCAATCAGAGGAAAAACCTTTATCAAAATATTGATTAAATTTTATTTATAAATAAAAATAATAATAGAAAAAAAACCAATAAACTTCCCAAAAATATCTAAATCTAATAAAAATTTAAATCTCAAACTTTGTACTTTCCATAAAAACCAAATTTTCTATATAGAGTTATACACTCCCGTTTCTGTACTCAGTTATATATGGTTCACCTCTCTCTCTCTGCGTATCCATGAGCCAAAGATTTATTTATTCATTCTGTCAATCAAAATTCTGACATCAACTTTGGCATAATTGATTTAACTCTTCAATCTCATCACCTTCTCTGTTATATTGCTTTTTCCCCATTTCAAAATATTTTAGAATTTATTCTAGAAAAGTATATACAATAAATAACGGTATATATGTATGTACATATAATGGCCCTTTGAATATAAATATACTTAATAATATAAAAAACAAGGAATTTTAAAGAAGGAATAGATATATTCGAGTTCTATTGAAATTGAAAAAATAAAACATAATATAAATAAATTTATTTCATACATAATATGTAAATTTATGTACATATGTACCTCTGACGCTTGTTCAGGTCCATACCACTCACTAAAATCAAAATAATATACAACATACATATGTACATTTTATTTTAATAACAATATGAAGATTATGTCTAGACTCCCCATATACCTATCCATATAAATGCATATACCATGCGATTACAATGAATGATTATGAAGATGGGGAGTTCTATTTTGAATTTCTAATTCTTACAATTCAATATAATGCCTACCTTATTGTACATGTTACACCTATGTTGTGTATTCTATTTGATGAAAATATATTTACTATGTGCGTTAATATAAATGAAGGAACAACATTTATTTAAAATAATTTTTGCGTTCATTAATGTGAATTGAATGCAAAATAAAACAAAAAAATAGAAAACAAAATATCAGAATGCCATCACGTTTAAGAACGTTCGCTTATATAAAATGTAATAGTTTAAGTACGTGTTATGTCATTTTCAGTAAAAAAAAAACATGTGTACGTACCATAATGACATATACGAATATTAAGCATTATTTAATATATTTTTGACAGCTTGGTTGTCATAACTTTAAAGGAATTTCTATTATGTAATGTTAGAAGTCACAATGTTATAGCAATTGCTTGCAATATGGGTCTCTAAATATATACACACATATTTATTTAAACATTTCACTATTCTTCATTAATTTTTCTTTGTTATTGCTTTGAACATTATCTTTGATTTATTCCTTATGTACCTATACAAACAATTGTGTTAATTTACTCTTTATAAAAATACGCATTATTTTTTACATTGAATGTTTTTAGAGTTCCGAGTTCTGTCACTTATGCATAGATAATGCTTTGTTGACTATTTCTACTGCTACGCTATTTGTTTATTTAAATTGAAATTACTAGATATTTTACTGTCATTTAATTTTCTGTATAATTTTCCTCGTAAAACACAACACTATTAACTTTAATTTTAGTACGCTTCAATATCAACCAGACGTTTAAATATTTTTAAATGTCACATTGACCTATAAAAACATTTTACAACAATATAGCAAAATACTCTAATTTTTTTACTTTCTTTCTCTTTTTCTGCACTAAGAATCACAACTCATTCACAATAGAATATTATCTGTTTTGATATTGTTATTAAATTCCGCCTTCAACCAAGTTTATTTCCTCTAAGTCTCTTTTTAAATAATAATAAATGACATATTGCAAACATAATACATCATTATTACAATTTTTTTTTCTTTTGACATTTAGTATCATATATGTATATATATATATGCACTTGCATAAAGTACAATAACTGTTATACAAACAATAAATGTAGAGAACAATATTGCATAACAAACAAACGTCCATACAAACAATCAATCTGAACAGTTTAACGACTTAATATAGTAAAAGTAAAATTTTATGTTGATCACAATAACAATAACAGTGTAACATAGAGAATGTGGAATTTTTTACAACTGAGTGCATTTAACACACATACACACATAAACTTCTATTTTATTCACATTATAGTGCATGTTTCTAAATTGCTAATAATTCAATATAAAAAGAAAAAAAATAAAAATCAAATAAAAAAATAACAGAAAAAACAAATAAATTTTTCGAAATAATTTTTTTTTTTTGCGAAAACAAAAAAAATTTCCATTTTAAGTGTGAAATAAAATTTATTTTTCCGGGATTTTATTAATTACTTCTTAACCATACACAGTCATAGTTGCAGCACACAGTTTTATAAACAGGTTTATGAGCACAAATAGTGAGTGGCTAACGCAAAATAGAAAATTTGAAAAAAAAAAAAAATTGTGGTTTAGGTCAAATTTATCCAACCATATAAAAGCAAAATTTCAACGTCAAAAATATTTTGATTCCACAACGTTCAGCTAGAGAAAGAGTTTTTTTTGTTTTTATTTTTTCACGCAAAAAATTATTAATAAATTATTGCCTACTAAGTATAATATACTCGTAGTTGCTTACTTAAACCAAGTTTGTATTTTCTTGTACTTTGTTAAAACATATGAAATCGATACTAATTAAATTTATTCATAGCTTAAAATAAAACCAAAAGAAAATTGACATACTGAAACGCAATCGAAAAACGAAACATTGTTTAATCTGTCACGCATTTCATGCTAATAAATTCATTTTTATGTAATCGAATCGGGGCTGTTCTTAACAATGACTCCTATAATACATAATGCATGTATCGAGAATTCATTGCATATACATATATAAATAAAACAAAGAAAATCAAAAGTAAATTGGGAAAGAGAAAAAAAAATATTGCATTAAATGCATGCATTCACAATACTACATTCACAATATACAAACAAAATATGTATAACATACATAAATCAGTGAAGCTGAGAAATGTTATTCCAGATTGCAATGAAAAACAAAAATAAAACAAAGCAAACTGTATGCAATAAAATGAAAATTAACACTTTAAAAACTAGAATTCACTTTCATTATAATTTTTTTAAAACTCGTTTTTATTTTAAATTTTTATTAATAGAAATAAATGTATAATTGTTATGTAATTTTACGAGAATGTTGGATATAAAATGAAAATCTATTTTATTATAAATATTAGGAAACTATTTCATTCATATTTATTTATTATTGTGTATTAGTTAGGACAGATTTA